TCCGTTGTCGAGTTTACACTTTGTGGTATATTGATTGAATTCTCTCGACCAATCAGATTTTTTATTGTAATTGTAATGTATAATATTAGTGATTATATACATTGAATATATATACAGTGTTTCTACGTAAGCAAAACTTTGTGTCTACTGTAATTTCCAGCCAATTCTACCCAACTGAAGGTTTAAGAAAATAATAAGATAACAAGTAGCAATCATTCCACAGGACCAAACAGTGGAGTAGACTGTATGGGGAGGTTCTCCGCCCGTCTCATGCAGCAGCACTGCTGGACCGAAGAGGGAAAGTGAATTCTGTACTTGATTAACTGAGAAGACAGGAAATCAACACTGTCATGGTCCTCAAGGAAATGTGGGAAGAAGTCAAGTCGTACCTGCCATTAACGATGGGCATGAGGGAAGCTTTAGAACAGGAGATGGGACGTTTTTGAAGTAGCGCTCTAACAAAAGAGCCAAACGTACTCATTTTATCTTTTTTCATGACTCCGTTAACAAACGTTTTTGGTGCATTTGACCATAATTCTTGTGAAAAATTGATGTTTTACATCTCCTACTTATTTATCAGTAGGCCTTCACTAAGATATATATTTTCTGTACTGTACCCTACGATTCTGTCTTAAACCCGCTGTCACACAAATAGGTCTGAAGAATCAAAAAGGAAAGTGCTCGTTTCGATGTCTTGTAACTTTTTCAATTAGTTGCATTACACGATTAACCTTTTCGAGGGCCCACATAAGAAAACTATCCTTCCGGGTGAGTTCTCGGGTAAATAAATTTGCGGGGTTTTAGTTTCAAGAATGTTCACGAGAGTCTCAACAAATTAAGGGGAATTCATCCATATTTGGCAAACCATTGAAAAGCAAGACTACATTACTAAGCTTCAACTGGAGACCAATACTTTACCCGGGGGTACAGTGGCTACCATAGTGGTAAAACCACTTTGCGCGTGCGTAAGTTACTGGCCATGTAACTGCTCCGTCCGTTTCATTTCTTCGCGCATGTGTAAGTTACTGGCCCTGTTACCGCTCCGTCTGTTTCGTTTCGCTGAAAATGTGTTGAGCTCCATGCGTACGAAACTTCAGTGCAAAAGTTGCCTCTAAACTAAATATTTGACGTGAATGAAAGTGATCCTCGCAGTAATGTGCACTACTTAGGCAGTAGTGGAAATAAGGCCTGAAAAATAAATTCAGGCCTGTACGGGATTTGAACCCATGACCTCTGCGATACCGGTGCAGCGCTCTACCAACTGAGCTAAAACTGAGCTCTACCAACTGGGAGCTGGTTATGATGTTGGTTCTAAATAAACCCGTGAAGTGATGAGGTCATAAGTAGTGCACATTACTGCGAGGATCACTTTCATTCACGTCTTTATCCGCAGTTCAAATATATGACTTTCATATATTCTTCACCGTTTAAACTAAATATTGGAGTATATGATTTCCCTCATAAGCCTATATCCCTAGTGAATCCTTACATTTATTTCACCGTTTTAAGAGATGATTGCGTTGTTTACAACGCCACTACTTATCCAGGAAGATAGAATTTCAAGCACAACCCTCTATTGTTGGTGACTTTGCGTGCTGTGTTGGAAACCCGTGAAATCAGACTGGCTCTAGTGTTCAGATATAATTTGAAGGGATTCTTTGCGGGGCAAGTTAACAGCCCAAATAATAAATACTCAACAAGTTTATCTGAAGCACACTATATCGAGAAGTTTTCTTCATTTAAGACATGCATAATGTCTTTAAAGCTTTCTTCAAAGAGGCAAGAAATGAATTATTTCTTTCCCTGGAAAATCAACCGAGCCTTAGTTTTCTTTCAAACATAAACCGCTATGTTTGATGGCAAACGCCTATTTAATCATGAGTTTGAGAACTGAGTGCAATCTGTGAATAACTTCATTCATTGCCTCAGAGAACAACATTACTCTATTCGAATTTCGCGCTTCATGTAACTTTTGGTACTTACGTAAGTACCTCTAACATACGAAAGATAAAACGAGTTTACCTTTGCATTTAAAGCATCAAAATCATCAGATATTAACTGTATTGAAGTACTATGAGGTAAGAATATAAATTTCATCGACGCAATCACTTTCAAAGAAGTATATATCGCTTTGAAACTTCTAGGTCCTTTCATGAGTATATCATTCGAGGAATTAAATTTCGTTAACTTAAAGTCAACAAAAATGAATCAAAAATTCTTAAAGCAGTGATACTGCATCTCCACTACGTTATTCTACTTAGACGGATATTCCGGTCCTTTACCAAACATTACCCAAATCATACTGTATTGAGTACTCTATAAAACGCCTACACCAAGTTTTCCATATATTAAAAATTATAACCATTACAATTTCCTCGAATGTGATTGGTGAATGAACTCCTCTATTTTTCACTAATAAATCTGTGGGGTTGTAATTGGACGTTGTGATCGATCAAATTGGTATACTCAAATGAATCCATCAATCACTGAATTGATTTAAGTAACCATGGCAATGGCTTACCATCCCAAGCTGGGGACAATGTGTTTAGAACTTTTCAGTGTTCCTTTCCTCGAGGTGACATGATTCAAGATTAGAATTACAAGCCCCTCTTTCAATTAATCTACTTTACTTTTCTCGGAAATTGTTATGATTAGGATTAATTGGTAACAATACTTAGTGCCGTCCAATTCGGTCCGTGATCATATCTGTAATAAACGAAGCGGAGTCCCGTTTTGCGGTGGTTGAATTTTGTTAATCTGTCCTACGACTAACGATGACCGAAAAGCAATGGCAATGGGCGTTAGCAGCCCTTTGTCTACTAGACAAGGCATAGAACCGAACGAAAAACTCCTTAAAAGTACAGCACATGAAGCTAGAGTTACATTACCAAGTGTATCGGTTCTCAAGCCTTTTAGCGCATAGTAGTGAAGGGTTCTGTACCTTACTTCCTATTTTTTTTCGGCAAAACAAAACATATAAGCTCAAACATTTAGGCATGTCGGGTTCTTGAAGAACTCAGATTGACTGTTATCTAAGATCAACAACATGCCGAGGTCAGACAATCTTACAAAAGATCAGCCAACATAGGAAAGTGATGTTCATTCAACAATTCGTAGAGCTCACCCACGCTTAGGAAGCGCTGCCTAACAATAAAAGACAAAGCTGCTTCCATTGGGTTCAGTGTACGCTTGTCAAGAAAACGAATCTCTGGTGGAGTTAGTCCCAGTCCTTCCGCAACCTTCATCCACTCATCGCCACCTACATCAAAAGGGTTTTTTATTTGTTTGTTTGCTTGATTCTTGTTATGTCGTTATTCCTTATAACAATATTCTGAATATGTATCAAGAATTAGAAATTGCATAAAATAGAATATTTTTTCAACCAAATGTGACCCCCCACGCAAAAACGTGTCGTGTTCAGGTGAACGCACGGGCATAGTGAAATGGCACCCTAAACAATAGACAGTGAGGGAAAAGACACGGTGGTTTCAGAGCGGCGTGTTCGATGGCACGACTTATTAAATTTTTCCTTTGTAAAAAGAGCACGACAAAAATAAATGTGCGTGTCAACAAGAACAATACGCAGTTTATGTTAGCGAAAAGGCACGACAGCGAGTGAAATGGCACGCAGTTAAAGTGAGCTAAATGACACATTGACTGTGTCCGCCTATGATTAATTATGGTAAACAGCCTTTGAAGATGGTAAAAACCCGCTTAAAGTTTTCAAGTTAGTCTTCTTTAAAGAGTATTGTTAACTTGGTCTTGAACTTGGGACTGACATTTCAAACTAAGAATGGACATGAATTAAAATACAGTTGTGCTTGCAAGAAATTTTCATCCAAAACTATTTGCTAGATAAATAGCAAAACTTACCAGATAAGTGGATTGAAAGTTCCCTCGCTTTAGTGATTGGCATGTGTTGAACAAGCAGGTTTTCCGCCAAAAAAGGACCTAATAATAGAAAAATAATCCTTTAGTTAATATAGGAAGATGAATAGTTGAAAAATCATCAGAGACACATATGAAAAATTGTTTTTAGCGTAAAAAAATACCTTGAACCCACTACTGGTCAGTCTTTCGTAGGGAGCGGCTAGTAAGTCTACCAACGCATAATGAAGATACCTTAGAAAGGTAGTTCATCAGGTCAAATATCCACTTCGTAGGTGGTTGTCATATCAAAAATTTCTAGGAGTTTATGTTTCCTTCGTGAATTTGATTTGATTTCTGCATTACCCTAACGTATCCCATAGTTTCATGGCAGGTTAGGTTTCGCAAGATAAGTAACTAACCAGTAGTTCCAGCCGGTGCAATCTCTCTTAAATGTTCGAAGACATCAAGCCTTTTTAAATCTTTTGCTCTGTGTGCCAGACTACGGATTATTTTCTTGGTGTTATAGTCTGGCCTTTCAAAAACGTCTTTGTTTAGTTGCAGGTTCTCCTTCAGTTGATGAACAATCTCTTTGGTAACGCTGACAGGAGGGATTGTTCACATTACCAGGTAGGCAAATTTCGGTGATTGCTTAGAAAAAACAAAAGGAAAAGATCAGTCGTCAATCAATGATAATTCAAATAACTGTATTCACTGCATAGGGTCTTCGTAAATGATTGACAACTGCCTCGGAGATTTTCAACACATTAGTATTTACACAATATCCTAACACAATACCAGCAAAGTTACATGAAAAGACGCCCTATTCATAAATGGCGGACGCACGGTTGAGACCTGAACCGAGTTCACTAAAACGAGGCTTAGGAGGCATCGTAAGAAACATGACGCCGAAGTCAAATGTTCACTGTTGTGCACCCTGATATAGGCAAAGAGGGCGTGTTAGACCAAAGGAGAACGAATTGGATTCTTTAAAATTCCAGACGAAGAGAAAATGAAGATGGATACATGCTATACGTAGAGATGTTGGTAGATTTTTTCGCATCTCCGAGGCATCAAAAGTGTGTTCTTTACAGTTTAAGCTTGGCGACCGATCACAGGATCTTGGTGAACTTATGCCACTTAAGACAAGTGCAGTTCCCTCGATATTTGCTCAGAAGCAAACTCAATCGTGCAAGCGGCCGCCCCCTAACGAAACGCCCTATCAACGACAGCGAAAAGAGGGGGAATCTGTCCCCGAAAGAGGGTCTTTTTCAGTATCTTCGGAGCCTGAAATACTAATCAGCAAAATACCTGAAGCAGCAAACAGTATTCCTGAAACAGGTAATAACGAAACCATCTTAGAGATCACCAATCCCGGCCCTAGTGAAATGCCTTCCACTGAAAAGGATCTGAATGAGGTCCTCAAACAATTAAGGCTACTTGGACAAAAATACGCAGATCTCAAAAACAAAAAGTTTCAGATTTGAAAGACAAAAATCAAGTGCTTCAGTCAAACGTCTTCTCATTAAGTCTGTTTAGCTCTGATGAGGCAATGTTGTTTTATTCAGGCTTTTTTAACTATAAAGCATTCTTGGCATCCTATGAATATTTAAATGCAGGAGATAATGAAGAAAATGTCAGGTACTGGCTGTCAGGTGATGATGAGATACCCTCAGAACACTATGTGTCTTCACCACAGCTGAGTGGACAGAGGGGTAGATCAAAATCACTCAAACCACAAGAATTTTTTCTCACTTTGTGTCGCTTGAGACGGGGATTTGTGGAAACCCACCTTTCTCATCTGTTTAATGTTTCTCAGGCAACTGTTAGTAGGATCGTAATCAGCTGAATCAATTTCATGTATATTCGATTTGGAGTGCTCAACATTTGACCTTCATGAGAAGGTCAACGACCAGAGAAACAAAAGATTCCAGATTTTAGTTTCTCGTTTGCTCCTAATTTTTTGCATTTCGTTTTCTAAGAATGAGTTCAATGGTGGATTTCGTTATTGAAGGACATGTTATGAGAATGCATGTTTGTCTATTCATATTTCCATAGCAATATTTGATAGTTACAAGAAATATATTACAGCAAATTAAGGGATAAATTTTTCTTCTAGGAATATCTATTGAGACTGTCCGTCTCTTAAGTCCAATGTTTATTCATTCCACACCTTTTTAGCAACTCTGAATAGGCATACCATATTTCTTTCATTCAGGTTCCTCGAGGTTCTTCAAGTGATTTAGCGGTATCAAAAGAACTAATAGTTCAAATCATTGCTTATCGTTTTTAATTTGTAAATAACTATTGGACTAAAAAGTTGTTGTGGCACAGAATAATATGGTTCCGACTAGGAAAAGGTAGCCAGTTTTTGTAATTCAAAATTGACTTCATGGAGAACTGTCAACAAAACAGCTCGAAAATATTTCCCTATCATCTCAAATTACTTTTTTAACTTTCCTTTTAAACAAAAACCAGAGTATTGACGAAAAATTTAAACTGAGATATAATTTTAATAACACCCTGTGTATGTCGTAAATAAATAGCAGACTATGACTAAGAAAAGTTTTTTTTCCTATATGTAATTGGCGATTATGTTCGTCATTATGAGTTTGCGCATAAAAAGGTGTTCAACCGACTCAACCATACTTAAACCTTTGCAAAATCGCGAAAGATCTACATTAACACGGTAATTTTCCAAGAATAACAGATTTTCTCTTCTATACTTCTTTTTTTCTTGATAAGGTCAGCCAAGTCAAGTCACATTCTCCAGAGCAATGATTCTCAAGGTTTTTAACGTGTGGTCCGTCGCTATGTTGGAATCCAAGTAAATCCTGTGGGATTTGGACGCTGTTGTTATGTAGACAATCTCTTTAGTCCCTTTAAATTTACATGCCCATCGACAACGTGAGTGCACTGCACTGTACAGCGGTTGCAGACCGAGAAGGCTGTGCACCTTTTTGTTTTTCTTTTAAACTGTTAATTTTATATGATTCAGGTGTGTACACCTTTTTCTACTTCTTTTGGTAACGTATGAACTGTTTCCAAGTTTTGGACACCGCATGACGAAATTTTACGAGGCAAAACAAAATCGAGAAATTCCCCGCCCAACAAAGCGCGGTCTGCATGGTTTGCACGGTTTGCGTGGTCTGTACGGTCCGCAAGTCTGCATTTTAGCATGACCGTGGTTGCATGGATGCGTGCGCTTGAAAGCCATTTATGCGATTTGAAATGGATTTTCAGCGAATGGATTCTGGGTTCATTCTTTCGCGAGATTCTGGATTCCAAAAGCTGGATTCTGGATTCCAATACCCAGTATTCCGGATTCCACATGCAAAAACTTCCTGGATTCCGGAATCCGAATTACCTTACATAGGGCGATTTGTCACAGGCAGAAAGTAATACCATTCGATCTGGTGTTTTCGCACAAGGAACAGCACTACTTTCCTCTGCATGGAGATTGGAAAAACAAACAAGCTTCAAACAAAGAGTCAACGCGTTACCACCACGCTGACCCGAAGTGTATCATGCCACGGTTCCCTTACTTCACTAACGACTATATCGAGATCCTTAGCGAGATTCGCAACTCACTCCAAGAATCACACAAAGTTTATATGTAGAATCTATTCTCGCTATCAATCTACTAGTAAATTTCTATGTTCCTTTGTTTCGTGAGATTTGGAGAAAAAAATGATATCCAGGTGATCGATATCGAATCCAGCCATGTTTTCCATAATCTCTAAGAGGGTGGCAAAGGGTTTTTGCGTGATGGCCCCAAAATTTGCAAGGTGACGCGTTGAACCCAAATTATCCGCGCGATGCGGGACCAGACATCACAACTTGATGCGTGATTTTCTCTTTTACAAGTACGTGACGCGTGATTTTCAAGACTTACTAATTAGATTTCAGTGATAGTGAACGCTCTTTGACCAAGAGGAAACCAATCATTCAAAGTAAATAAAGTCTTAGCAAAGATCAATATACCGTGGCAGCCGTCACACGGTTTTCTGGTCTCTTCCGTCCTTTGCTGAACTTCGCCTGACCTTTGATGTCTCTGACCTACCTGGTAGGTCCAAACAATCGTAACACAATATGCATAAATTAATTTAGTTAACATTTGCACAAAGACTTTTCGTAGTGTGTCTCATGAACATGGTCTTTGTCCACAAAGGTAATACCAATCTCTTTTGAACTTGTTTTAGTAATGTGTCTTCGTTTTCGTAATGGGTCTTCATTTACGTAACGGGTCTTCGTTTTCGTAGGGGGGTGTTAGGTCTCCCTTTTCGGAGTCTTCGTTTTCGTAACTACCGTAGAGTGACTATGGAACAACTATGTCATTAACTGATTAATAAATAACTTGACACGATTCGTAACATTATGGCGCAAGACCCGAAACAACAGTTTTACCAAACTTACTTATTCATCGTTGCACAATATAAGTTCTCTTCAGAGGGTGTAGCGTTAACAAAACTTATTTAAGTGTCAATGGCAGTATTTTTGTAGTGTAGTGTCACGTGACTTTTGATGTAGAGAAACCGCGCTCGACGTCCGGCTCGCAGCACTTGTGATCACACCTCGCTCGAAATTGAATTCTTTTTTTATCATATACTTGATTGCTTGTCAAACAAGTTGTTATTTCGCTGCCGTTGAAGTAGATGCGAAGAATGTTGCAGGATGCGTTGTGGTGATGTATCTGATCAGGTATTTTCAGCGTGTTAAGTGCGTAGACTGTCAAATAAACCCACGTCTGACAGGAAATTAGTGCCCACGAATCGCTGTAGTACTTGAGTAACCGTTGATTCCCAAAAATGAAACCGATTTCAACTCTATGGACGTGTACGATTTCAGTTATTAATTAACTAACGGTATACTTGAACATAAGTGGGAACTAAGTTATTCATCATGAAGGGAGAATCTGTTGAGATCGAAACATCTCAAGCTTGGAACACACTTCAGTCATGAAGCTTGGATTAAAAGAAAAGACACCAGGGTTAAGAAAACTTCTTTAGGGTGCATATCTCTTTGTTTCCAGGAGTATTTGTATTCCAAAACTTTGTTTGGACAACCATTAGAGCACTGACATTTCTGAATATTGTCCACGCTGACACTGAAGAAAGGCTTTATCTTTGAAATTATAAAGCCTTTGGAGACCAGTTCCAGTTTGTGGTGGGTATGGCTGTCAACTCGCTGATAAGCCCTGCGTGCACTCTCCTCATGAAATAATCCCCCTCTCTAGGATTTTATGGTTTCACTTCCTGATTTTGACCACAACTGTGTTGTGACTTGGATGGCACAATATATCTACCAACTTTTTGAAATCTTTTTCATTTTTTGATGGCATCTTGCCTGGTGAAGACTCTTTCACACTTTGAAGCTGTTGTGAAACCAGCCTTGTGAATGTACCATTCCTCACATTTCCACTGCATTGAGGTGGTGCTCTCTATATAACCTCTTTCTGCATCACTGAAGGATAGAAACCTCAACACATCTTTTCTTAAGATGTTGGGATGGCCTTCAACACTTTCTTGTATTTTGGTATTCATGATACCAGTCTTAGCCTCACTAAAAGGTTCATTGTCAGGTCCTGAGTGAGCTTCGGAAGTGCGGTGGAGTGTTTTGATTAGAGACAAGATTACTGCAGATGCATCAGTTTTTAACTGGCACATCTTTTTGGTGAATTGACAGAGATATCCCCCATCTATTTGATTCCTGTCTTAAGGAGCGCGAACATCTCGGTCAGTATACATGGGATAACTTTGTAAGGTTTTTGTTTATGTGAGAGTTTTCTCATTTTTTTTGATAACCAGGTCCTTCACTTAGCACAATTTAGAAGCTACTCTAGGTTTTTTAACCCAGATACATGGGCCACTGGTTACACTATCTTTACCTCGAGTGTTTAACAAATCTTCTAGGGAATACATGGCAGCTGCAATGTGCTTGCATTCCCCATCTCGACCACCTTTACATTTACATTTAGCTTGAAGGACACTGTCCCGGTTTGACCCTCTGCCCTCAACAATAAACCAGAGATCGTAGTATTCCTTACCCTCGTCCGTTTTTACTTTCATAAAAGGGCGCACATTGGCTACATATGCAAGAATTCCATCTTGTTTCAAATGAGAAGTTAGTAAAGATTCCACATAATCATCATCGAAAAGTCGATAATCTTCAAATGACTTGTAGGCGGCGAGTCCCTGCTTATTGTGATCGGTGGAGTAGTAAAGCAAATAATTAAAAATGTCGTACAATCCAAATGGCGGCTACGCGTTAAAATTGTCAACAGTCTTCAGGAAATGAATTATTACTTCGTCTGAAGCAGTGGTGTCCTTTTCGAAATTTGAATTCACTGACAGACTGCAGAGGCGATTTCCATAACCGAGGTATTCAATTATCCGCTCGCTGAAATACCCTGTTCGTGTAGATATTTTTTAAGCTCTGCTACACTCATTGTGTCAAAATCAGCTTTATTTTTATGATCTTAAAGGTTGACCTGAGTTTCGCGGAATTTCCCACTTAGGTTACTAAAGGTTAAAAAAAATTGGTACATTTAATATCTGGGGAGATCCACACCCAGTTACGTATTTCCTTGAGGGAATCAAGGCTTCCTCACGTTCTACAGCAATTCGTGGGCACTAATTTCCTCACAGAAGGGATTTTATCGAACATCTACGCACTTAACACCCTGAAAATACCTGATCAGATGCATCACTGTACGCAGACCTAGTTCGATTATTCCATACCACAACGCATCTTGTAACATTCTTCGCATCTACTTCGACGGCAGCGAAATAAAAACTTGTTTGATAAACATTCAAATATATGATAAAAGAAAGAACTCAATTTCGAGGGAGGAAACGCTTCTCGAAAGTGGGAAGTTATATTAGAGAAATTGCCCACACATGTGCTGCGAGCTGGACTCGGAACTTTCGCAGATTGTTTACGTCAAAAGTCACGTGACACTACACGGGAAATCTGAAGCCTAAAAGGTGAAGTCCGTCTGACTCTAACAGGAATGTCACACAATGTTTCGGGAAAAGTGGTGCGTGACGCCCCACCACAATTTGTCACGACAATTTCACTGTCATTTTTCATACAAATAGATAAAAAATACACATTCATTGTCATTTTTCATCACTACGCTTAGCGATTAATACACCATGAATACACTAGAAAATAACTGTGCGTAGTATGTATTGTGACGATTCTCATGGTGATATTAAACAACCCAATCATAAAAAACAACACGAAGAGTCCACAAATCAATTGGTTAGAACAAGGACGATAATGATGACGATGAACCGCACTAGTGTATGTACAGGAAGCATTTCGTCGGCCGGAGAGACATGCTGATGTGGCAAATGATGCAATTGTTGAAGGTGCATCAAATAACCGTCATTTTAGTAGTTTTTCCTGAACGGCAGGACATTTCCTAATCCGCCAATGCCGCCGGCGTGGGAATACATGTTGGAGTTAACGATGGCCTGAACTGCAGCCTGATGAAAGTGCGGTGGAGGTGCCTGCTGTGGGTGAAGGCGGTTGTGCATCCAACCACTTGGAGCTTGAAGTGGTGATAGCATAGTTGAATCCGCAGGCGCTATGCCGTGAGAAATGCTCCATGACGGCGAGAGCGCGTTCGTGAATGGCACACAATTTGGCGAAAACGACTGTTACTGTTGCTGTTGCTGTCCAGCGGCGCAGGGCATTAGAACACGCGTGAACCCATAAGGTGAGGGCGTCGGGACGACACTCATGGATGTGTGCACTTCCCCGTCAAGCCGCGCCTTTTTGCGCTTCCTCTTTGCATTATTGTCATTTTTATTTCCGGTTGCTCTCGGTCTGGGTCTCGATCTAGACGTTCTACTTACTGTGGCCTTTTGACGCGCCGCGTGGAATTTTTGTTCCATGGCTGCCACGCTACCATTGGAATTTCGGCAGCTGGTGGCGATGTTGCCAGAAGAGATGCTATGCTAACCATGGGCGATTTTTGCCCCTCGGGGAGTAAAGTAGGGGCTGGAACTGCATTGGGAGAGTTACAGCCGAGTGACAAATCCGTTAGCAATTTGACAATGTCGCGATGATGTCTTTGTTCAGCGATATCCTCAGGTGTCATGTTCACGGTCTCTGCGCTGCCTTCACGACAACCCAGGAACAACGGAGTTTGACCCTTGAAATGGATTACAAAACACTTTAACACCAATCACCATAAAAAACCAAATAATTGAAACAAAAAAGGTCATCTTTGATTGTATTCCTTTTAAATTCACCCTAAAATTGCTGTGCGACTTCAGCGATCGCGTTACGCACCCGCTAAAATCCATCCCTTGGATGCTGCGAACAACAAGCGAACCTTTTCCATACAGGCACGGTCAGTGAGCAAAGCTTTCCCTGCAAGCCATGATGGGCCACCAGTGAAAAGCCCACAGTATCTTGCGCATAGGATTTCAACGACCACGTAAAGTGATCGCATGTATCGACCGTCAACTTTTACGATCAATTTACATTGCAAATATCCGGTGAATTTGACTAGATATGCAGTCAAATAAAACTCCTTTGCTTACTGCGAACAAAGCTCACATGAAAAATAGATCTGAATTCTACAAACCTTTTCATCTTGCACGTCTTTCTTAGCGCCATTTTTTAACAGCTCTTTGGTGACATCCAGGCCGTTCACTGACGCAGCCCAATGCAAGGCTGTTTTCCCTATTGGAAACATCCAAAGCTGTCAGAATTCGATACCAACGTTTAAATCTATCCTATTCCAGAAACCGAAAAAGGGGGTCAGAAATTCACCTTGATTGTCAGCAATGTCAACCTTGACTCCGGCTTTGATGAGGTACCGCACCAAGTTTAGAAGGTCGTGTCTTGCTGCAAGGATAAGCGGGGTGGTACCGTCGTCCATTCGGGCTTCGAGGTCTGTAGCACGATTCCGTATCAACAGCTGAATGCATGGAGAAATGAAGTCGGTCAGAGATACCAGAGAAAAATATTAGTCAAAATTTAATCCACTTGGAATAGAACACATCGCGGGAATGCTAGATGATGATGAAAGGAATTTTGTTGGATAACACTTGCTTTCCTAAATCAAGGTGAATACTATGTGTTTTTTACCTGGAAGACACCTTGTGCATCATATTCGATGGCCAAATGGAGGGGCGTGCGATTGAAACGGTCACGTGCATTCGCATCCGCTCCGTCGTCCAACAGACGTTTAGCCACATCCGCTCTTGGGTGCCGGGCGGCAAGATGAAGCGGCGTCTCCACCAGGTCCTTCTTGGAACCATAGTTTGCCCCAAGGAATGGTAGATCCAACACCATGGTCCCTCCACTGTCATCGCTGTCTTTGTCATCATCAAGGCTGCTGCCATCACCGTACGTTCCACGGCAGGAGGCCAAGTAAGGGGCTCTCCTTCCACATGAAACTTCTTGGTGACCAAGTTTTCCAACTAGCAAAGGAAACAAAGAACCCAGTAACCACTTGGTGAATAAATAAAAAATCAATCTTTAGACTCTGATAAAGTTCTAGGTATTACTAAATGTAAATTCAGTTTCTTTACAAAAACGATTTTCCCCAAAAACTGATGCAGAGACTCACTTACCTAATGCGAGGCTGTTCAGCCTCTTCACAAGACTTCTTATGAGCTCCTCCCAGCTGTACTTCTCCAAATACTTTTCACGCAGAAGCCTTGATTCTGAAAGTCGCACCTCCCTTTTTTTTTTCTGTCGTACCTCCTTGATCTTTTCCGCCCATTCTTTAGGATCTTCAGAGTCGACCACACACTGTGATCCTAAAGGCACCTCCTTCAGAGCTTCTGGTTAACGGTGGCGACAAGAAGGTACACCATGTATATTTCATGGTCGCTATCAAGTAAATTTGGCCGCACTTTGAGTTCGTCTCAAGATAGAACAACACAAATACACAAGGAAATTTTTACAGTAACTTCATAACCATCCTTTGGTCTTTTAAAAGCTTGAAGTTCAGTAGATTGTGTCATATCGGTCATTGCTAAAACTTTCTTTGTTTTGATGCAACTTTTCGACATAGGGAAAGTATGTCGGACAAAAATATTCACCAGAAAATGTTATTTTGCCAGCTTCAATAACGACAGGGGATTAAATTTAGATGATAAAACAAAGGATTGTGTTCACAGAAATACCGTAGGTCTAGTACATTCGTTACATGAGGTCACACAACTCTGGTAACATTCACGGTTATAATTTGCATATTTGAGCGGTCGAACGAAAAAAATTATTTCTCGAAAACTAAAATAAATTTTTACAATAAAACTACACCAAAATTATTAGAACATATTGGGCTACAAAATATGAAAGTAGGAGGGAAAACAAATTTGGGTGACTTGCCGCTGTTTGTTTGATGAATGCTGACATTAGCTCTTAAGGGCTTCTCCCAGCGCTGCGAATGACGAGTCACTTAAAGTATGTACACAAATACCTAGAGAGTCAGTGAACTGTTATATCGGAGAGCGTGTGCTATAGCTCTTACCCCTTGATCACCCATGTGATGACGATGCGATGAGCAAACCCATTCTCCACAACCCAGTACCTGATTATCAGCTATAAATGAGTCAGTGTGATTTAACTGGAGAACTTTTTTGAGTGCTTCTGCTCCCTCATCACCAATGTTGTTATCATTGACATCCAAGTCCTTCAATGTTTTTATTGGATCTTAGAGCGTCTGCTAAAGCTTCAACTCCAATATGTGTTATCTGATTATAAGCTATGGACAAATGAGTCAAAGTGTGATTTGACTGGAGAACTTTTCCGAGTGCTTTGGCTCCCTCATCACCAATGTTGTTACTTTGAATATTCAAGTTCTTCAATATTTTATTGGATCTTAGAGCGTCTGCTAAAGCTTCAAATCCAATATGTGTTATCTGATTTTGAGCTATGGACAAATGAGTCAAAGTGTGATTTGATTGGAGAACTTTTCCGAGTACTTTGGCTCCCTCATCACCAATTCTGTTATCTTCGATATCCAAGTTCTTCAATATTTTATTGGATCTTAGAGCGTCTGCTAAAGCTTCAACTCCAATATGTGTAATCCAATTAGAAGCTATGAACAAATGAGTCAAAGTGTGATTTGACTGGAGAACTTTTCCGAGTACTTTGGCTCCCTCATCACCAATGTTGTTACGGTTAATATCCAAGTTCTTCAATATTTTATTGGATCTTAGAGCGTCTGCTAAAGCTTCAACTCCAATATGTGTTATCCTATTACCAGCTATGGACAAATGAGTCAAAGTGTGATTTGACTGGAGAACTTTTCCGAGTACTTTGGCTCCCTCATCACCAATGTTGTTATGGTTAATATCCAAGTTCTTCAATGTTTTATTGGATCTTAGAGCGTCTGCTAAAGCTTCAACTCCAATATGTGTTATCTGATTATCAGCTATGGACAAATGAGTCAAAGTGTGATTTGACTGGAGAACTTTTCCGAGTGCTTTGGCTCCCTCATCACCAATGTTGTTCCTTCTAATATCCAAGTTCTTCAATGTTTTATTGGATTTTAGAGCGTCTGCTAAAGCTTCAACTCCAATACGTGTTATCCAAATAATAGCTATGGACAAATGAGTCAAAGTGTGATTTGACTGGAGAACTTTTCCGAGTGCTTTGGCTCCCTCATCACCAATGTTGTTACGTCCAATATCCAAGTTCTTCAATATTTTATTGGATCTTAGAGCGTCTGCTAAAGCTTCAACTCCAATATGTGTTATCAAATTAGCAGCTATGAACAAATGAGTCAAAGTGTGATTTGACTGGAGAAATTCTCCGAGTGCTTTCGCTTGCACATCGTTGACTCTGGTACAAGACATATTTAAATGTGTAACCGTGTGATTCGCCTGAAGAGCTTGAATGCACCGGCTGGTCTTCAAATATAAGTGTGTCAGAGTATGACTCGCTTTAAGGACATCTGCAAGTGCTGCTGAGGCTAATACGTCCCAAACTAATCTTTTCAGTTTGCGGTTGCCTTTAAGATATTCGTAGAAAACGAGTGAAAATTGAGAGCCCCAGGGAGAGGAATCAGCAGGGAGATAACTTTCATTCATCAGCACTTTATCCTGAGGAAAACAATGAGCTAGCGTACGGGCCATTTTAATCTGGCAGGAACTAAGTTTATTATTACTTTGTTTACACTGAGCAATAGCATCAACTGTTTTCTCAAGAAAGGAAACCTCATCAGTTTCTGCAAAGATTCTAGCCAGATTAAAGTTGTCTTCAGAGTCGTCTTCAGAGTCGCTCGAATCTAAAGGTTGTCTTGTATACTGACGTTTTACCGATTTCCTAGGTTTTTTACACTGAAAAGAAGCCGATAGTCTCGAAACCAGGAAAGTAGCTGTTTCTTCACTTTTACCTGCTACCATTGTGATCAAAAACTTCCACACCTGCCAGTACTTATCAACAGGACTAAGCTGAGTCAGCAGGGCCGTCTGGTCCCTATCAGCAGTTTCCAATTCAAGCGACAGATGGAATGCGGCAAAGAATTCCTGAAAAGTCTTGTGGATAAATGCATAAGTTGGCTTCGGTCTGATTTTGCTTACACTGGTTTCTCGAGAAAGAAATCCAAGCTGAAGGAATTCCGTTGACTTACTCTCTAACTCTCCTGGAGTGAAAGCCAATTGATCTTTCAGCAGAGCTTCAAGAGCTAACTTGCCCAACTGATTCAGCTGGTGCATGTATTTGTCTATGGGACTTTTGTCGCACAAACGGATTTCTTTCTTAGAACAATATCGCCTCAAAACACAGTCAACAAGTTCACAATACAACATGGTTTTGTTGTGAGGCAATCTTCCGCCAGTGTCTTCAAAAACAAGACATAGAAGAGCTGTGTTCAGTGCATTGGCAGTCAATTCCCTAAGCTGTGAGTCGTCGTTTATTTTCCTGATTAGTTTCCCAGCAAGCCTTGATTTGTTGTGACAACTGAAATACTTCTTGATGTAACTGTCTGCATCTTCTTTGGTGTAGCCTTTAATCTCAAACAGTGCGTCACTGTGTAGCCGAACATTTATCCCTACTTCGTGTCGAGCTGTTATAATGAGATAAGTTAAAGGTAAAACTCTTCCTCTAATTAAAGGAAAAAATTCTTCAAACAGGTTCTGCGGTAATTCATCCAATCCGTCAAGTACCAGCAAGATTCTAGATTGATAATGGCGAATGAAATAGAAAAAAATCTCCTTGTCTTTCTCGTTGGCATCACGTGGTAGTAGCTGATCTTCAATAGCATCCTCAATTTTAGCAGTCTTCATGTCACGACACGTCAGCCGAAGAAGCATGTCCACTTTAGGAAAAGAAGATTCAGTTGGAATGTCCCCCACAGACCAATCATATGCAAGCTTCTGACAGTAAGTGGTTTTTCCTATCCCAGGTTCCCCTTCGATCAACACTACTCTTGGTTTTTCACGTTCACATTTACATTCACATTCACATTCACATTTTTTATATGGTCTCAAGACCTCAGTCATTTTGACGGAGTCTTTTGTCAACTTTGCACGTTCTTTCTTCCGGCAAACGATAGTCAGTCTTGTAAATATCTTAGAGAGTTCGAATTGCAATTCTTCCTCACACCAAGGGAAGGGACACAATACTGTTCTCTTGTACTCTCGTCTAATCAGCGCCACAAGTTTCTCAGGGTAATCTGGAGAGATAAAATAAAATCTGCTGTGTTAACTTAACAATCATCACTTTTGTATATAATAATTATTTCAACACGTAACACACTTATGCGATAAAGTCTGCATGGCAAAAACTCCATTTGCCAGTTTTCGCCGCGTAAACAGGGGCCCGCTTGTACAAAAGATAGGGCAGCAGTACAAGACACTAGACACAAAATCAAAGAATACCTATGTCCCACTTGTGCATAAAGTAGTTAATCCAGAGAAGAACCATGTTTACGACTTATAATAACTGGTCTTATAGCAATGCAAGGTTTGCTCTTATCATAAAAGCCAAGGTTCCGGAAAGTCACGGAGATATCCACAATTATGGTAAACATCCAACTCCGCAAAAAATAAACGCATATATAGTCAACAAAAACAGAACAAAATAGCACAAAATAGTATCCTGCGTTTGTCGAATTTCCGTTTGCAAAATTTTTCAAATTTAGCTTCTGCGATCCAAATCTTTCTTCGCCTGCACAAGCAAAATTCCGCTATTTTCCATTACTGTCACGTTTCGCTTCACAGTTGCTCAATAAATGTTTGCAATGAAACGCAATCATATTTGCTTACACGGTTTTCTCCCGCTTGCAACTGATAAGTTTTCTGCCTCGGAATGAAAATACCTCAGAACGCATTTTATGAGACTGCTAGTATTTTTGACTGATTTTAATTGAAGATATGTTGAAATGAATTCCACAAGTTTTCTTTAGTTAGAGAAGCATAGGGTTATCTTCGTCCGCTTCTAATCGATCCAGCGACCAATGTTTCAATAAGATAACTGAAGTTAATCCTGGTTCTTGTTTTATATCAGATCATAAACAATCGAGGCAATTCACTGCATTAGGTTTACGTCTGAACTCAAAAAATTTTTGTTCACTTGGAAGGTGATGTTTAAAGCAACGATCCTTAATGTAAACTGTAACAGAGCATCTCTATCGTTTTATGCGCGGATAGTACTCCAATATGGTTTCGTGTTGTGACGAGTACGGGACGACTTACTACTAGTATCTACAACTTACTGAGTGAGTGACACATTTTCATAGTGGAATTCTTATTAAAGTTAAAAAAAGCGTCCGTGACCCCTTCCTCCAGACTCCCCCCGTTTAGCCTCTTCAACACTTTCAATCACTGGAGAGGATCAAAAAAGCGGCGGCGCAGAACAGCGCGAGGACAAATGGAAAGAACTGTTTCGCTGACTACCACAACTGTAGAATGCGCTTGCATGCAATTTTTTGTTTTTTGCCTGCTCGCTTTTTAGCTTAGAAAAGGCCAGCTCCCCTCTCCCATAAAAAGTCCTGGCGAAGCCCCTGACCAAGATCGCCGTTACTACTGCAGTACAATAGCTGTTTTACTATGCACGGTTTGAAATTAATATCGTTTAATGTAATTTAATCTTTCTTTCATTGGCTGTCAGCCCCTTTTGTGACCTTCAAATAATGTTCTTCTCTTACGTAATTATGACTACTTTCGTCCATTGAAAATAACAGATGTCTCCTCTGGGCTATCAGAGAGTTAATCTCGGAAAACGATTTGGAAAAAATTCAACAATCAAATCATAAAATTTTTATTGAACTCTCTAATTGTAGGATATCATGATTTTCACTGTCTTTCAAAAAAAAGATTACCATCCGAAACTGAAGGGTGAGGTAAATAATTTGTTGATAGTGTTACGGTGTTTATAGCCTCCGGGCTAGATAATTCTCGCAGTATGCTCAATCCCATTCAACAAGCGCTGATTACTACAGTAAGAGCTTACGGAGTAACGAAGTAGTATGAATCACCAACATACGGAGGGGAGGGGGGGTTAAGAAGAAGGTGCAGCAGGATCATTGTGAAGATTTCTGAAAGATGGTGTCCGCCATTTCACATCCGTTTCTTTTCTTTTTTTTAATGCCAGTCACGCCTTTAAACTTAACGCGTCCGTTCAACACAAAGGGGTCTATCTCTTATCTCGTGTTGACTCTTTTAAAAACTCACCAGCTGACTTGGGATTTTCTGCGCATTGTGTAGTAACGTGTGGTTCTTCTGACTTTGTTATGTCTTGCACTTGATCTGCAACAGACAATCCGTGATAAAAACCTTTTACCTTAAATAAAATCAGATGATTGACAATATCTGACGGCATTTTTTCCAAATGGCTAAATGGCACTGTTAGAAGGTTTTAATCTGATTCACGAAGTATCAGCAAACTTTATGTCTTTGTTAACAGCTGAAAGGATCGTAAGTAATCCCCCATACATAGTCTAACCCTGACACTCCATCCTTTAGCCCTAGCCCCCTTTCTTCCCCTCCTGTATAAACTCTTCTGCAAAGTGCCCCTAACTCTTTCACGAGCGCTCGCATTGCTTACTTTGGGGTCACACATCAAAAGTATCTGAACGAAAAAAATTGTGAAAATTTTGACTTCAGAGGATAACAGAGCAATGTTACGGGCCACTGTTGAGCGATGACCGACGTTGTACGTGAAATTGTAGCATTGTAGTAATTAGCAATTGATTTGTTTCCACATTGTGTCCTCTACTTTCTTCATTGTGCCATATAACAAATCACATTAGCACTGGTCCCTTGGCAAACAGTTTCATATGTTCCCTTTTGTGCCAATTGCTGAATGTTTTGGAACATTTCTCTAAAAGATATCACATTAACTATGCACGAAAACTGTACAGTTTATGTCTCTAAAAACGAAGCATCATGATAACAAGAAATACAATAATAGTAATAGTAATAATAATAATAATAATAATAACATTAACAAACTTTGCTTTACATGAAAACTGAAAAGTGTAGTAATAACACTTCACCACAAATTTCACTAACTTTGAGAGTGACTTCTCTCTTGAAAAAGGTTGTCTTGAGGCACTGAAGTTGAAGGAAAAGGACACTGTCCATATTCCATGGATGAATGAGATGAGCGATCACCAGAGGAGCCTTTTAGAGCTAAAAGAGACACAACATCAGTTAACTACAGCTCTTTGTCCTGGGAAGGACAAAGGAATGGTTTTTAAAAATATCATGGCCCACTGGTAAGCTTTCCAAGGTATGCAAGTTTGGGACTCATTTAAAAATTTCACTAACTTTGAGAGTGACTTCTCCCTTCAAAAAGGTTGTCTTGAGGTTCTGAAGTTGATGGAAGAGGACACTGTCCATATTCCATGGATGAATGAGATGAGTGATCACCAGAAGAGCCTTTTAGAGCTAAAAGAGACACAACATCAGTTAACTAAAGCTCTTTGTCCTGGGAAGGACAAAAGAATGATTTTAAAAATATCAAGGCCAACTAGTAAGCTTTCTGAATTATACAAGTTTGGGAGTCATTTAAAAATGAACAAAAAAATTTACATCCTTCACATCTTAATATTACCTTCAAAGTAACGATAGTTTAACAGCTCTCTCCTGAATTGTTTGGAATAATCATCAACTAGCATTGTAGAGGCTGGCCTCGTATCTCTGGTTGCAATAAAAGGTCTGCTTCCTAAACCTGATGGTGCACAAGAACAAATTGACCAATTAGAATATGCTTCTTTGAACATCAAGTATTTATTCATTGAAGGGTCTTACAGGGGGCAAAGACCCAAACACAAGAGCCTGTGTTCAGGCAAAAAATACAGCATTAAGCACTCTTATGAGAAGCACTACACCCAAACATGAGAGCCTCTTTGCAGGCTAAGCAGACAGTGGTAGGGGGTCTTTTAAGAGTGATAGGCTGTTGGTAGCTGGCTTTTATTGAAAACCAGTGACAATCAGTTTTGGAGAAGTACAGGAACTGCCATCACACATTAATGTCAGGTGGATGTCTTTGGTGAACGGGGCTTTCACTTTGGCTAAACACCTTTCAGATACAGAGCAGAATACTACTGTCACAGCTGGCAAATTTCTGCAACTCAACCTAGTCATGAGCCCTAATTCTGAACTAAGACTCTACAAGCTAACCATAGGGTTAGAACAGAGATAATGGCTTTATACCTTTGTTAAAAGCTATGAAGATCATAAAAAATCCCCTATACAAAGTCTAAACTGGACACTCCATCCCTTAGCCCCAACCCCCTTTTTCCCTGCCTGTATAAACTCTGCTGGAAAGTGCCCCTAACCCTTTCATGAGTGCTTGCATTGGTTACTTTGGGGTCACCTGTCAAAAGTATCTCAGCAAAAAAAAAATTAAAATAAAATCTATGAAGTCAGAGGGTAACAGCAATGTTACGGGCCACTGTTGACTAACGACCGCCACTGCACGTGAACACAGCGTGATTGAGGCTAAGGTGAAGGTAATGTGAAATTGTAGCATTGTGGTAATTTGTAATTGATTTGTTTCCATATTGTGTCCTCTACTTTCTTTGTTGTGCCATATAACAAATCAATTTAACACTGGTCCAGTGGCAAACAGTTTTATATGTTCCCTTTTGGACAATTACCTCAGTGATTTGCAACATTTTTTTTGAAGATACAAACTTAACCATATACAAATGCTGCACAATTAATTTCTTTGAAAACGAACCATTATAATAATAGGAAATACAATAATAGTAATAACAATAACAATAATAAACTTTGCTTTACATGGAAAACTGAAAGGTGTCAGTAGTAATAACACTTCACCATAAATTTCACTTACTCTGAGAGTGACTTCTCTCTTGAAAAAGGTTGTCTTGAGACACTGAAGTTGAAAGGAAAGGAAACTGTCCATATTCCATGAATGGATGAGATGAGTTATCACCAGAGGAGCCTTTTAGTGCAAAAAGAGACACAATATTAGTTAGCTAAAGCTCTTTGTCCTGGGACGGACAAAAGAATGATTTTTAAAAATATCATGGTCCACTTGTAAGCTTTCCTAGGCATGCAGATTTGGGAGTCATTTGAAAATGAACAAGAAAAATTAACATCATCAAACATCTTAATATTACCTTTAGAGTGATGATAGTCTATCAGTTCTCCCCTGAATTGTTTAGAATCTCGATCACCTAACACAGTAAAGGCTGGCCTCTTATCTTTGGTTGCAATAACAGGTCTTCTTCCTAAACGTAACAGTACGCAATAACAAATTAGCCAGTAAGAATACTGTATTAATTTGCCCTTGATTTGTTTCATACTTTGTCCTCTACTTTCTTTGTCGGCCATATAACAAATCGCATAAACACTGGTCCCGTGGTAAACAGTTTCATATGTTTCCTTTTCTGCCAATTGCTGAGTGTTTTGAAACATTTCTTTAAATGATATAAAGTTAACTATACTCAAAAACTGCACAGTTAATGTCTTTTAAAACAAAGCATTATTAATAATGATAGGAAATACAATAAAAGTAATAATAATAACAATAACATTAATGAACTTAGTTTTAAATGAAAAACTGAAAGTTGTAGTAATAACACTTCACCATAAATTTCACTTACTTTGAGAGTGACTTCTCTCTTGAAAAAGGTTGTCTTGAGACACTGAGGTTGAAGGGAAAGGAAACTGTCCATATTCCATGGATGAATGAAATGAGTGATCACCAGAGGAGCCTTTTAGAGCAAAAAGAGACACATCATCAGTTTAATACAGCTCTTTGTCCTGGGAAGGACAAAGGAATGATTTTTAAAAATATCATGGCCCATTGCTAAGCTTTCCAGGGCATACAAGTTTGGGACTCATTTAGAAATGAAAAAAAAGATTTACATCATTTAGCATCTTAATATTAACTTCAAGGTGATGATAGTTTTACAGTTCTCTCTTGAATTGTTAGGAATAGTCATCACCTGGCATTGTAGAGGCTGGCCTTGTATCTCCAGGTGCAATAAAGGGTCTGCTTCCTAAACCTAATGGTGCACAATAACAAATTGACCAATTAGAATATGCTTCTTTGAACATCAAGTATTTAAACACTAAAGGGTCTTACTGGGCATGGCGTGTTCCATATCCCAAACATAAGAGCCTGTTTTCAGGCAAAAAAGACAGCAGCAAGCACTCTTATGAGCAGCACTATACCCAAACATGAGAGCCTCTTTGCAGGCTAAGTAGACAGTGGTAGGGGGTCTTTTAAGAGTGGTAGACTGTTGGTAGCTGGCTTTTATTGAAACCAGTGACAATCAGTTTTGGAGATGTAAGGAACAGCCACCACACTTAAATGTCAGGTGGATGTCTTGGGTGTACAGGGCTTTCATGTTGGCTAAACACCTCTCAGATACAGGGCAGAATATACTAATGTCAGAGCTAGCAAGTTTCTGCAACTTAACCTAGTCATGAGCCCTAATTCTGAACTAAGACTCTACAAGCCAACCATAGGGTCAGAACAGAGATAATGACTTTATAACTTTGTTAAAAGCTAAGATTGTAAAAAAAAAACCCCCTCACAAAGTCTAAACTTCACACTCCATCCCTTAATCCCAACCCCCCCCCCCCTTTTTTCCCTGCCTATATAAACTCTGCTGGAAAGTGCCCCTAACCCTTTCACGAGTGCTCGCATTGGTTACTTTGGAGTAACCTGTCAAAAGTATCTCAGCGGAAAAAAATCATAAAATCTATGAAGTCAGAGGGTACCAGCAATGTTACAGGCCACTGTTGACCAATGACCGCCACTGCATGTGAACACAGGTGATTGAGTGTACAGGGCTTTCACATTGGCTAAACACCTTTCAGATACAGAGCAGAATACTACTGTCACAGCTGGCAAATTTCTGCATCTCAACCTAGTCATGAGCCCCAATTCTGAACTAAGACTCTACAAGCTAACCAAGGGGTCAGAACAGAGAGGATAACTTTCTACATTAGATAAAGCTAAGAGAATCGTACAAAAAATCACCCAAACTAAGTCTGAACGTGACACTCCATCCCTTAGCCCCAACTCCCCTTTTTCCCTGCCTATATAAACTCGTTTGGAAAGTGCCCCTAATCCTTTCACGATTGCTTGCATTGGTTACTTTGGGGTCACATGTCAAAAGTATCTGAGCGGAAAAAAATTTTAATGGAACAATGTTACAGGCCCCTGTTGACCAATGAACGCCACTGCATGTGAACACAGTGTGACTAAGACTAGGGTGAAGGTAATGTGAAATTGTAGCATTGTTGTAATTTACACTTGATTTGTTTCCATATTGTGTCCTCTACTTTCTTTGTTGTGCCATATAACAAATCACACTAACACTGGTCCCATGGCAAACAGTTTTAAATGTTCCCTTTTGGACAAATTCCTCAGTGTTTTGGAATATTTCTTTAGAAGATGTAAAATAAACCATATACAAACACTGTACAGTTTATGTCTCTGAAAACAAAGCATTATAATAATAAATAATACAATAAAAGTAATAATAATAACAATAGACTTTGCTTAACATGAAAAACTTAAAGTTTAGTAATAACACTTCATCATAAATTTCACTTACTTTGAGAGTGACTTCTCTCTTGAAAAAGGTTCTCCTGAGGCACTGAAGTTGAAGGAAGAGGACACTGTCCATACTCCATGGATGGATGAGATGAGTTATCACCAGAGGAGCCTTTTAGTGCAAAAAGAGACACAATATCAGTTAGCTAATAAAAGCTCTTTGTCCTAGGAAGGACAAAAGAATGATTTTTAAAAATATCATGGTCCACTTGTAAGCTTTCCTAGGCATGCAGATTTGGGAGTCATTTGAAAATGAACAAGAAAAATTGACATCATCAAACATCTTAATATTACCTTTAGAGTGATGATAGTCTATCAGTTCTCCCCTGAATTGTTTAGAATCGTGATCACCTAACACAGTAAAGGCTGGCCTCTTATCTTTGGTTGCAATAACAGGTCTTCTTCCTAAACGTAACAGTACACAATAACAAATTAGCCAGTTAGAATACTGTATTAATTTGCCCTTGATTTGTTTCATACTTTGTCCTCTACTTTCTTTGTCGGCCATATAACAAATCGCATAAACACTGGTCCCGTGGTAAACAGTTTCATATGTTTCCTTTTCTGCCAATTGCTGAGTGTTTTGAAACATTTCTTTAAATGATATAAAATTAACTATACTCAAAAACTGCACAGTTAATGTCTTTTAAAACAAAGCATTATTAATAATGATAGGAAATACAATAAAAGTAATAATAATAACTATACCATGTATGAACTTTGTTTTAAATGAAAAACTGAAAGTTGTAGTAATAACACTTCACTATAAATTTCACTTACTTTGAGAGTGACTTCTCTCTTGAAAAAGGTTGTCTTGAGGCACTGAAGTTGAAGGAAAAGGGAACTGTCCATATTCAATGGATGAATGAGATGAGTGATCACCAGAGGAGCCTTTCAAAGCTAAAAGAGACACAACATCAGTTAATTCCAGCTCTTTGTTCTGGAAAGGACAAAGGAATGATTTTTAAAAAATATCATGGCCCACTGGTAAGCTTTCCGAGGCATACAAGTTTGGGACTCATTTAGAAATAACTAAAAAAATTTACTTCATTTAACATCTTAATATTAACTTCAAGGTGACTATAGTTTAAAAGTTCTCTGTTGAATTGTTTGGAATAGTCATCACCTGACATTGTAGCGGCTGGCCTCGTATCTTCAGGTGCAATAAAGGGCCTGCTTCCTAAACCTAATGGTGCACAATAACAAATTGACCAATTAGAATATGCTTCTTTGAACATCAAGTATTTATTCACTGAAGGTCTTACAGGACGCAGGAGACCCAAACACAAAAGGCTGTTTTCAGGAAAAAAAGGCAGAAAGTAAGCACTCTTATGAGCAGCACTATACCCAAACATGAGAGCCTCTTTGCAGGCTAAGCAGACAGTGGTAGGGGGGGGGGTTTTAAGAGCGGTAGACTGTTGGTAGCTGGCTTTTATTGAAACCAGTGACAATCAGTTTTGGAGATGTACAGGAACTGCCACCACACTTAAATGTCAGGTGGATGTCTTAGGTGTACAGGGCTTTCACATTGGCTAAATACCTCTCAGATACAGAGCAGAATATACTAATGTCACAGCTGGCAAATTTCTGCAACTCAACCTAGTCATGAGCCCTAATTCTGAACTAAGACTACAAGCTAACCATAGGGTTAGAACAGAGATAATGGCTTTATACCTTTGTTAAAAGCTACGAAGATCATAAAAAATCCCCTATACAAAGTCTAAACTGGACACTCCATCCCTTAGCCCCAACCCCCTTTTTCCCTGCCTATATAAACTCTGCTGAAAAGTGCCCCTAACCCTTTCATGAGTGCTTGCATTGGTTACTTTGGGGTCACCTGTCAAAAGTATCTCACCAAAAATAAATCATAAAATCTATGAAGTCAGAGGGTAACAGCAATGTTACGGGCCACTGTTGACTAATGACCGCCACTGCACGTGAACACAGCGTGATTGAGACTAAGGTGAAGGTAATGTGAAATTGTAGCATTGTGGTAATTTGTAATTGATTTGTTTCCATATTGTGTCCTCTACTTTCTTTGTTGTGCCATATAACAAATCACATTCACACTGGTCCCATGGCAAACAGTTTTATATGTTCCCTTTTTGACAAATTCCTCAGTGTTTTGCAACATTTCTTTAGAGGATACAAACTTAACCATTTACAAACACTGCACAGTTTATGTCTCTGAAAACAAACCATTATAATAATAGGAAATACAATAATAGTAATAATAATAACAATGATAAACTTTGCTTTACATGGAAAACTGAAAGGTGTAGTAATAACACTTCACCATAAATTTTGCTTACTTTGAGAGTGACTTCTCTCTTGAAAAAGGTTGTCTTGAGACACTGAGGTTGAAGGGAAAGGAAACTGTCCATATTCCATGGATGAATGAAATGAGTGATCACCAGAGGAGCCTTTTAGAGCAAAAAGAGACACAACATCAGTTAAATACAGCTCTTTGTCCTGGGAAGGACAAAGGAATGATTTTTAAAAATATCATGGCCCACTGGTAAGCTTTCCGAGGCATACAAGTTTGGGACTCATTTAAAAATGAACAAAAAATTCACATCATTTAACATCCTAATATTACCTTCAAGGTGACTATAGTTTAACAGTTCTCAGAGTAATTTGAAAATTAACAAGAAAATTGACATCACTGAACATCTTAATATTACTTCAGAGGTGATGATAGTTTATCAGTTTTTCCCTGAATTGCTTAGAATAGTAATCATGAATCTAACATAATAGAGGCTGGCCTCTTATCTCCAGTTGCAATGACAGGTTTGCTTCGTAATTATCATGGTGCACAATCACAAATTAACCAATTAGAACATGCTTCTTTTGACATTAAGTATTTATTAACTGACAATTCACTTAATTAATGGTCTGTTTGTGTTTTCCTTTCAAAAATAGCAATAGATCATACTGAGTCCACGAGAAAATTAGTTCTTAAGCAAGGTAATGGCCTCAAAAGGGTGAATATCAAATTTCTCTGTCTTTCACCATCTTCTGGTACAAAAAGCTTCAACTTTCTCAGAAGAACCTCATCTAATTGCTTCTGTACAAGTATTCTTTTCCAAGTATTCCTGTGTCTGATCAGGCTAAAACTTTCATTTTCACCATTTTTTTAAAAACTTTTTTGATTTTTATTAATTAGTCAGTCTTTACGATAGACAACTTTTTTTTTTAATCAAGAGATCAGAGCCATTTCTTCCTTTGTTTGGCAGAGCCACTTCTTTTTTGTTTGGCTTAATTATTAATAGAAACTTTTGAAAATGTGTTCTTAGCTTGACTGTGGTAGTCTTTCACAGTCAGCATTGATCACTGTGTCACAGTTTGGCTTCTACATGGTGACCACGGCTAGAGGTGTTTGAAATTCCCAGATTGTTTCTTGACCTACTCCTTGACCTTATTATGACGAAGTTCTAAAATCCCAGCATTTAATTTCAAAACATACAGGTGTCTCAATAACATTTTCACAAGTGACTGCTGATGGTCTAAAAGGCAGCTGTGTCTGGAAAAGGACCATAACGCAAAACCCAAACATGATAGCCTGCTTGCAGGCTAAACAGATGCCAGTGAGAGGTCTTTCAGGCAGTAGAAGAGCAAAACACAAGAGCCTGTTTGCAGGAAAACAGACAGTATTGAGCTCTCTTATAGGTGGCAGTATACCCAAACATGAGAGCCTCTTTGCAAGCTAAGCAGACAGTGGTAAGTGGTCTTTTATGAGTGGTACTGCTGGTACCTGGCGTTTGTTGAAATCAGTGGGAATCATTTCTGGAGAAACCACCTCACTTAAATGTAAGGTTGATGATTTGGGTGTACAGGGTTTTCTACTGTGGCCAAACATCTCTAAGATACTGTACAGTAACTGTCACAACTGGCAAATTTCCGCAACCCAGTCCAGTCATGAGTCCCAATTCTGAACTGAGACTCTGCAAGCTAGCCATAAGGTCAGAACAGAGAGAATAGCTCACAGGTGGAGGATGCCACAGCTCTGAACTTTCCATGGTCCTAGGGCACCTACACTTGCAAACAGCCACTTTTTGACCACTCATGTGCCCTCAAATGTGAAGATGACTGCTAACCAAGAATATCCCCTTAGCTAAAGGCACCTCACCTCGTTAAATTTTTATTTAATTAGCAAAATAAACCTCTTCAAAACCCCAGGTTTTCGTATTTCTTATCTTGCAACTGAAATAAAGAACCCCTGTCACCTGACTTGGTGTATAAAATGATGAAAAACTAAAATTTTTTGACTGTGATTAAGAGTACATGTACTTGGTATCAATTAAATCACTTGTCTTAATTAAAATTATTTCCCAAAAAACCAATGCACAGGCTAGCTTACCAAATATGAGACTGTACATCCTCTCCACAAGACGTCTAATGGGCTTTTCCCAGCTGTACTTTTCCTGATAATTTTCACGTAGAAGCCTTGATTCTGAAAGTCGCACCTCCCTCTTTGTCTGTTGTACCACCTTGATTTTTTTGGCCCACTCTTTTGGATCTTCAGAGTCAACCACAAACTGAGATCCTTGAGGCACCTCCTTCAGAGCTTCTCCAAGTCCAGAATTACCACTGACAAGTACAGGCAAACCAGCAGATAAGGCTTCAAGAGCACTGACTCCAAATCCTTCAGTCTTGGATGGCATTATGGCAAGATCTGACTCACAGAATAAGTTAGCTAATACTTCTCTACTGTCACTGAAGCTGCGGACAATTAGCTGATTACGATCAATACCATGTTGAAGCAATTTATCTGCTATTTCATCTTCTTTCCCTCTTGGTGCACCAACAAACTTGAGTTTGTAAGACTTATCTTTCAACTCCGCAAACTGCTTGAGCTGCAAGGTCAAAACCTTTCAATATGAAATCTTCACAGCTGTCACCACTTCCAATGACTAGAACACTGAAAGTTCTTCTTTCTTCAGGGGCTTGCTCCACTTTCAAAAATTCAGGAAAATGCTTGGAGTGAGATTAATGACATTTTGCTCTTTTTTACTACCACGAAGGTAACCCTTGTAAGCATCTGTCAGCTTGGGTCCAATTGCTACAATTTGATCAGCCATCTCACACAATTCTACTTCTATTTTGTGCAGTTGTTCACCTTGCCAAATGTTTTTGTACATTCCAAGTTCTTCTGAGGCAGTGTGAACAACCTGGATCCATTTGCATTGGTGATCTTTTCTAATGAACTGCACTTGTTTGCCAAGACTTACTCCATGTCCTACTACACAATCCATGACATGTCCATCTGGGACATTCCTCAGCCAGTCAACTGGATTGCACCCAATCACTTTTTTTTTTGCTTTAACAAGCTGCACATGGTGACTTGCTGCATTGTTTCTGTCTTCTTCATCACATTGTAGAAGAAAGACACTAACTTCCACATTAGAGTGTTTAGCTAGCTGTATGGCTAGTTCTCTGTTGATGGTTGACAAGTCTCCATCGGTTGATGATCTCCACGCTCTGCTTAGCAAAGTGACTCTCAGCTTCCTGTTTACTTGGCTGTCTTGTGATGTAGAGGCTACACTGGTGATGTCAAAGTCCTATCAGAGTAAAACAAGAAGTCTTAAAAAATTATTTAAACGTTTCCTACAATGAATATGGAATTGCTAGTTCATGTAGAAAAATTGCATACATCATGTTATGGTGCACAGCTGTGCCTACATAAGGATTTTTACCATAATAGCTCCTTAGCAAGGAATTGGGGCAGCAATATGTTAAACATAGGCATACATAGCATGCAAGAGTTACTTTTTAGGCTGGGCGGGTTGAGATGGGACACTTTGAGTGTCTAATGTTCTCATTTTTGTAACAGAAAAAAGGCATAACTTTCAAAAAGATGAAAATATTGCATTACTTCACCATAACAGAAAGAAAAAAAAATTTATCTGAACTTGCACAGGTATTTTGTAGTCTATTGACTCTATTGTCATAATACTACTATGCAAAAATAGAATGCATCCATGCCACACTTAATGTTGCCTCCTTCGCAGCCCTTGTTTGGTCTCGTCACACAACACCATATATTCCCCATTGGAGAGAGAGCGCAATGCATGATGAGACCAAATAACAGTTGTGAAAGAGACTATGCTTACTGCTGTTGCTCAAACAGAAAGAAAATCAAACTTATTCACCTATTTTTGCCCCAAAAATATAATTCTACATAATTTTACCATGAAAAGCAAAGTGAAACTCTGCTGTATTTCCAATAGACCCTAACCAAAGATATATTGCCATCTCGAATAAGTGAAGAAACAGTGAACAAGACAAAAGGATAATATATTAAAGGGGGTTCCTTGATTAGTTGTTGCCAATCAGGACTTTGCCCTCTGTGTGTGAAACACATGATAAAATACAGGTTGTTTACAAGGAAATAAGACGTGATTGAATTCACTCAAAGGCAGCTAAAAGCCAATTTTTTTCCTAGAAAAAGTCAAAATACAGGAGAACTGTGTGGAAAATTCACTATCAGTAGCATTTAGTTCCATGTAGATTTTTTCCAGAGCGGTTCGACAATGCAGTTAGAATACATGATTAAATACAGTTTGTTTACAAGGAAATGACACATGATGGAGCAAAGTTTAATTTAGCAAAACCGAATTTGATTGGTAGAATACAATTCAAACACATAAAAAATTGCATAATGTTCATGTAGTAGAAGATTGGGTGTTTTCTCATTGGACTTTGGGTGTTGTTTTCATGGTACGTGCTGGAATATCAGTTGTTCGGCAGCAAAAAACACACTTTAGCTTAAAAATGATACAAAAAGGTTAAATGCAAACCTTTTATATCCAGATAAATCTTGATCTCAATCAACGAGGCTTTTGTGAAGGCCACAAACCATTAAACTAATCAAATGAGCCCAAAATTTATGGTCACCCTTTTTCAAATGTCATTCCTTGTGCACAGCCCCCTGATTCCATGACATCATTTCCAAGGAAACAATTCCCAAACACCATGACTGGTGCAAGATATCCAAATGCTGTGATATGATTGGTGCAAGATAATACCATAATGCAGCAATCTGATTGGTGCAAGATACATACCCATATGCGGAAATCTGATTAGTGTGAGATACAAACCCAAATGCGGCGATGTGATTGATGCCAGCAACATACCACCCTACATGCTAACATAGTAATTTTTAAGAAAGAAACTCTACCACTGAGCCACAGAGACTCTACAGTGAGCAAGGTCTTATATGAAGTGCATATGACACGCATCCCATATACTGCTAGGATCGATAATGTTGATAGCATAATGTTTGTAGATAGAAATGTAAGTTTTGAGATAAAGAATTGAGGTAAAGAATTAAGAAAGAAAATCAACTTCTTTCTAAATTTGCATGCAGGCTCTGCCTAATAGCATAAAGTCAGATACATGTACTGTATGTGATGCATGTTGATTTCATCAACCTCCTGACTTCTACCAACATACATATACAGTAAGATGTAACTGTGCATGGAATGCATATAACAAATATGTACTCCTATTAAACTATTAACTTCCATTCTTTTTGAAACTCTACATGTACTGGTAAGTGACTGTTTTATTTGCTGGTTGTAAAATAATAACCAATCAATATATCATTCAATTTCCAGTGTTGAAAGTCTAATAATTTTTTGAGAGAACCTTCAAAAGACAGTGAAAGTGACATGTATTGCTTCAGCAGGTTTTTTCATTATGGTAAAAAATTAAACTACACAGACCTACAAGATGATTCAGTTATCACATTATTTTTACCTTTGATAGCCCAGACATCACAGGAGAACTTTAGTACTGAATATTGAAGCTACATGTAAAAAAATAAAAATTGTGAATTTCAAACCATTTTGTTTGCTGCACTTCAATGGACAACATGGGCTAAATAGGCGAGTAAGAGAAAATAAGATTAAGAAATACAAATGAGTAATTGGTGTGAGGGGAAATATAAAAATACATAAATTGGAATAGTATCATGTCAAATGAAAATTATAGAGAGAAAATTGTGGGTAAGGAACTCAAAGAGCTCTGTATAGCTGTTATCAATAAACTCTAAGGGATGTCACATCAAGAAAGCCACGCACTGGAAAGAAACTTTCACATGATAATTTTTTGGAGTAAGCAAATACCAAAGAGGAAAAACTGAACCAGTATTACCTTGCATTCTGTCTTGTCATCCACAGAAAATATCCCTTGCATGGTAAGGATTCCACTGAGATCTTGAGTCCCAACATGACTCTCTTACTCCTAAAAGTACCAGTGTAAAAAATTGTTTCAAAGAGATGTGAGGAATTAACCCTTTACAACCCAGCATCAGTATGCATACTCTCTCTATACTGTTCTCTAATCATTTCCCGAGGTGCTGTTGTAGCAGTGGGTAAATAAAGAAATACTAACACAAATCCCGAATTCCTCTCAAAACCCAACAACGTTTATTTTCTGCAAATGAGCTTCACAGTTTGTTAGACTTGAAGTTTGTGAGACAGAAGCAAAAATCTCAGAAGAACTGAAACATGAGACCCCAAAAAAGGCTCTCATTTCAAAGACTAAAGTTGCAAAATCCTACAAAGTCCTCAACCAAATGACAATATTGTCACACAAGTCTAAGTCACACAAGTCCTAGTTCACTCTGTTACACTAACAAGGGGAATTTGTTTGACCCTTTACACCCAAACAATAGTATTGATATTCTCAACACTGATCTCTCCACATTTCCTGTGGTAATGACAAGGAGAATTTGTTTGACAATCTAAAGCTTCTGAAATTGGTGATTATTTCTATTATTCTCATCACTTTGACATTTGATGCAAGGGTGAAACTGTAATGAGAAATTAGAAGCTAATCACTCTTAGGGGTTAAATGGTTAATAATCAAGAACTTCTTTAGTTGGTGATCATTTCCTTTATTCTCATGACCTTTATGTGTGATTCAGGGGTGATATTGTTAGGAGAAATTACAGTGTAAATGCTAGTCACTCTTGGAGGTTAAGAGTTTGAGTACTGGAGAACTAAAATTACACAAAATATGTTGAGATATGACCTTTTTTTTTTCTCTACAGCAAACATTTCTAAGATCAAATGATTCAAGAAATATAGAATGATATAAAAACATTTTTCAACTAACTCAGATTTGCATGTAAGCAAAGAAGCAGCTTATACCTGTACACACTGTATATTACTAAAAATGATACAGCATTTTGAAAGTGAATCTTAATTTTATTTACTGTTGAACCTGGATAATTAAGGTCTGGATAATCAAATTTCAACTACTGTCTCAAGATATTCAACTTCATTGGTTCACTGTGCAAGTCAAAACTGTAGAATTTTTACAGGCTGAAATACATTTTGAACATTCACCAATTATAAAATTTGAGATGGTGGCCTACAACAGGAGGGATAAACATATTCCATTTGTCCAGATCAGTCAGGATACTAAGTCCAGTCTTCTCTTTCAACCTTTTTTAACTCCTATGAGCGACCAAGACAGATTTCCCTCTTTACAATAGCACAGCAATAGCAATTAGCAAGCTCACTGCATTGACTAACAAAAGACCTATGATTTTTTTTTGGTGCAGAATGCCAAAAACATGCATTTTGTGCGTGCATTGGCCATCTACCCCTGAGCTGTACTGCAAATTCAATATCAAGCAGACAAGAATAAAGAAAATTACAATGAGGGGATTATTAGTTGATCCACTACCATCTAATCCATAAATATTTGTGTTTCACAATTTATCTTGTTGCAGTTCTTTTATCACAATGATATTGCCACTGTTGCTACTTTTAGTTTCTTGAGGGCAGGAGTGAACTAATGGTGCATGAGGTGGATTTTCGGAAAACCAATAACTAGGTAGGAGAAATTACTTGGCCCCTTTGAACTTGTGTTAATGCCAGTATCAACCAGAAGTTTTGCACAATTCAGGCAACAGGATATCGGTCAGCTTAGGAAAGGGCTTGATCTTTTTTACAAATGATGTATTTCTGTTACTAAAATATGATGGAAACTTTAGTTGGGAGGATTTTTATATGATAAAAAAAGTGCAAATGTAGTTATGTGGAAAGACAGGAAGTTATAATGAGCACATGTCTCAAGCATGTGAAATAAACAACAACAAAGAGCTCACAGTTCTTCACTTGCAAATTGTCAGCCAAAAAGAATGTGGAAAGATCAAATGGGGACTCTTTTTGGCCACCAAATTGTATTTTCAATGCAAGGAAAACTTGCTAGGCACAAAGGTCGGTTATTTCAAATTTAAAATACAGCTATCAACCAGAAAACACCAAAAAATTTCACATCATAAACACTTTCAGCCATACTCAACTGAGCAAGAGTGGAAATGCTTGATTACTTGTGACAGAAAAGTTAAAATGTTGAAGCAAGTTCATCGTCTACCAAAATTCTTAAAAATGACTTCAAATTGCACTTGTCCTTGAGGCTTATGAAATTTGGCCAGCCTTCTTCAAATTAACTTATGTTGATTTATCCCAAGTTTCACTTGAAATGCACTGTACTTATAACCCACACAGGGTGTTGGGAGAAAAAGAGGAAATATCCAACTCACAAGCCTGAGGGGAGCGATGAACAAACTTTTTATGTGTTCTCCAAACATTCCAAGTGAGTTATTTCACCAGTAGACCAATAAAAAGTCTTGTCTATTCATTTGGCTCAATATTTGTTTAATCTTAATCTTTGTATCCTAGAGAGCCAATGAAATCACTGAACTTAACATATTTGTTATTGATTCAAGACTTTCCTCAAGATAATTTTAGGATAAAATGTTGCTTGAGTGTAAGTATTTTAAATTATAATTCAAGCAAAACTCTGCATGTAAACAATTGCATACAGAGTAAATGTCTGCATAATCTTGATTACATCTGTATAGGCCATATTGTTCTTTGTTATACCATAACATTTATCTTTATTCCTTGTATTGCTTGAAAAAGGCAAAATAAAAAAATCACATATTCAAACAAATCAGCAAAAGTCCATGAAACAAAGAAATAAAAATGATCAAAGAACTTAAGAGGGAAATCTTAAATTGTGCTCCACATGGCCATGTGACTGGGACAGAATCAATTGCACATGTATATCTAAAGTTTGCCTACCATTTGAAATATTGCATGACTGTGCAAAATCAATTTAATTCACTGATCAGATTAATCTAAAAGAATGCCTAAATGATTCTGCTACAGTTAATTCCCTGAGCAAAGACAGCACAAATTAAACATGGTCATGGGAACAGGAGTCACATTTTTCAATGTACTGTGCATGTAAATTATTCACATGTGATTGCACCACTCATCTCACGCAAATTGGGATAAATCAGCACTCTAAGTCTTTTAAAATGCACTCACCGCAGAGGTTCATGCAATTTGGTTTGCCTTTCAAAGTTGTGCTTGTGCTGAAATATTACAAATTACCCTTGAAATCATGTCATTATATACAATTACTTTAATTTAATGCACACCCTATGCTTATTTCAACACACCAATACCTTTCATGTTCATGAAAGTGTGCTGAAGAATTTAAAAGGTAAGAAAACAATGAATAAAGGTTGAAGAAAATCAATCTGTCAACTGTTCAAAACAATGTACATAATCAATATTAAAGAGGAAACTGTCACCATCTTTTATCATGAGGAGGGCTAAGACAAGATGAACAAATTCAGATTTACTTGAAATTTCACTTTTTTCTAACTTGTTTCAAAGATACAAATTTTCCCTGACTCAAAGTGAAATTCCCTGACTTTTCACAGGCTTTGGAGTAATTTATTTTTACCTGACTTTTTGCCACCTGAAACAAGCATGCCTACAATTATCTTGCAGGAAACAATGAACAATTCATCTTTGGAATACATGTAACCTCTGATTGATCATAAAAACAACAAAGGATGGGTGCCACTTTCAATGTCCAAGTTCAGCTGTCTACAAACTTAACATCATCATCTTCCAAATGTTCAGAGGACACTTTGGCCCTTAATCTCGATCTTTGTATTTTGAAACTCCATACAAAATCATTATCTATGCATTCCTATAATTTCATGCGCACCTTCATGCTTCTTCTGCAAGCGAGTGGTAACTTATGTATAACTCCTAACTCTCATGCCTAATGCAAACGGCGCTGTGAGGTCGAGTTTCCTGAGTCTCCAATATCCTCTAAAGCCATCGGATATGTTCGGGGTAAAATTTTCGCACAGCCCCACACTATTGTAAAACAAATCTGTTTTCCCAATGGAAATGTATTGTTTTCGTAATTGTTTTCTCTATTCAAGAACTGAATGCATAATGAAGTATGGGGCTGTGCGGAAATTTTACCAAAATCTCGTGCATTTGACTCAGTAAAAAGACTACAAAAGCTAACACTCTATAAAGATTAATTCCACATTCACATCTGCTTGCATATTAAAGACACAACTCCCTACAAGGCTTGAATACCCCGATAAAGGAACATTTTGCAAAGAACGCTCATCAAACCAAGCGAATTAATTAAGGCGAATCGAAACCGAAAGTTAACGGAATTAAATGCTTTGGATTAATTTACTTTCCTTTTTCAGTTTCAGAGCTGTGATCGATCTGACATGAAGTAGTGATGGTGGAATATTACTAAGGTCTTCACTATTAAAGTAAACAGAGTTTCGAAAATGAAGGAAAAAAGCAATGGAAACAGAACTTATGTACCTTGTGTTGGGTCGTTGCATTCGTGTACGGAAGAACTCGTTGGACCTCAAATCTAGACAGCTCAGATCTTAACCAAAGTCGACAGCGTACATTTTCGCTGAC